ATAGAGCAGGGTTTAGGGCTGTTGTACATAGGGTTGCTATGAGTTGCAAGTGACTCGATGGCACATAACAACGACAACAATCCTAGAAAGGGAGCCGTAGTAGCCTAATAAACAGGCAGTTGCAGAGCCTCTGTACAGTCTAAGCCCACCAGCAACTCCAGGGAAGAAATATGGGCAACTTAAAATCTCTGAGGGGAGAGGGTTGGCAGGAAGAAAAGTGCAAAAATGAATGACTGGAAATCCTAAATCTCTGTAAACTTTCATTAAAATCAATAAATTAAAAAACAAAACAAAACAACAAAATAAAAAACCTCACAAATCAGCATCAACTATGTGTTGGTTCCAACTTGACAACAATGATCAATGAATGAGTGATCAAGTGAAGTCATTCGTCATAAAAATTGTAGACCAAAAGGTGGTAGGTTCATATAATCATTAAATCTTACTACATATGATTTAATTACTATATTCTCTGTATTTAACTTTCAAACATATGTTTCAATCAGATAATATAAGATAGATGTCTTCTGTTTTGCCATTCAGAAGGTTCTAAACCATCTCATCTTTTATCCCTAATCAGTTGGTATTAGTCATAAAATCTCACCTTCATTCAATAATCACCTAAATAAAATTGGATTTCCAATAAAATACATTTCTGGACATATTCCTCAATTCCAAGAAACCATGATGTATTCCAAACACTTTAAAAAGATCTGTCCTTGCTTTGGGTTTGTATCATATATATTAATGATTTATTCAATAATTTGTCAAAATTCTACTAAAATAAAATGCCAGAAATGGAATTTTACTGGCCTCAACTTAGTTCACAGAACTGGAACCACCTCTGACCCTGAAATTGCTGTGCACAAAATTATTTGAACAGAATGTGTTCTCCCATACCTTATTGTCAGTCCTAATCGTGACTTTCAGTTGTGGTAGTACACGTTCCACTTCTAGGCTCCATTCCGCAGCATCTGTCGTGGATTCCAAAATATCTTCTTGTTTGGCAGTCTCGTTTGTATCCTAAGAAAGGAAAGATATCACAAGATTGAACGTTTATAAAAAGAAATGGCAAAAAATTTTGAAGCATTTTAGCAGTACTGCACAATTTAAATCAAGCATGGTAGTGTTAAAATTGTTGTGGCAGTAGAAATTATTTGCCTTCTTATCAATGCTGAAAGTAGACAATGCACCAGCAGGGTAGAATTGTTGTTGTTGTTGTTATGTGCC